TAGATTGCGAGTAACAATTGTTATCAAAGTCGTTTTTTTATTTACAACTTAAATTATGTATTATAAAGATTTTTCATGACCAGCTAACTAAACGAAGATCAATCTTTCCAAATAAGCCTCCATTACTTAATGGAAAAAAAAAAAAAACATTTCACATGACATGTCACGTGTCAAATCAATGGTGCACAAATGACACGAGAAAGATATAATGAAGAAATTTTGACTCATTTTTTTGAAAATATAGAAGGAATTTAAACAACAAAAAAAAAAGTGTGGGGGTGGAACTTGGACCATTTTTTTAATAATGCATAGAGAATTTTAGCATTTTATCCTAACTAAAAATTATAACTTAAATTTTATAAAACTATAATGATTAAATTTCTACAATAATTCACCTAAACTCGTGCTTTAATAATGCATAGAGATCATGATTGAATATTCTATTTTAATTTGTTAATAATTAAACTATAATTTTAAAATAGTTAAAATTTTAAACTCATTCGTGTATTATTCGAAATTGTTTAAATAAGTCCTTATAAAAAAAAATTTTGCGATCAACCAAGTATTACATTATTGAATCATACTCAAATAAATTCTTAGTTGGACAGAAAATTGCATGTCTATTTGTAACATTACAAATGAACATTTAATTTTGCTCTCAAATCAAAAACTTATTTGAACAAAATTTTGAGGATTCGGTATATTATTGAAAACGGGTTTTGTATAAAAATTGATTGAATAATTTCAAATAATACGGAGACAATTTAGTCTAGAAAGAACAAAGATTACAACCTGAAATTTCACCTACTTGCAATCCCCGTGTCAATTAAAAAATTATAAATTGTAAACTACTAAATCAAGAGTCTGGTGTTGTGTTTTTCTTTTGAAAAAAAAAAAAGTAAAATAAATAATATTATTCTACATTATACGCCATATACATATAAATAAAAGTTTGTGATGAAGGGGCATGGCCAAATCATAGTTAGAAATTGAAATGAGAAAAGATGAGAATGCATGAATTGGCAAAGCAAAATTCATGGATGGAGTAATGTTGTCGGCTCTGCAACTCTTCTCTTCATTACTCATTATGCTTTTGGAGGGACCCTACCCACATGCCTAATTTCAAATTGCATATCACTCTCAATTATTAATCACTAAACTCAAATGTTATTTTGGTAAAATCCTACCCTCTCAAGGCTCAAGAATATAACTTGTTTTCTCTAGTAAAAAATTGTATCATCCCACCCAAGTAACACTACAATTCAGTTTCTATACTAATATTTCTGAATTAAAAGCAGTCATCTTCCATATCATATTCTGAAAATAAGTTGCACAACTTACAATTCCAGTGACAACACAGCAATGACTTTCTTATACGGGGACAAGTTGTAGACAATACGCACAGATCCATACCAACTGCATCCTTCAAACATCTAGCACATACATATTTCCTGATTGATTCTTGCTGCGCTCCATGCCTCTGTTATTTTACCTAGTTATTATACATTCAAATATTATGATATAATAGGCTGGGAAGACATTGTCTACTGCTTCAACTGATTTGATATTCCCCGCTTGCATGAACCTCTCTGACCCGTTTGTCATACTCGTCTTCTTCATCCTCCTCTTCTTCCACGTCTTCCTCCACATCTTCCTCCCCTTCAACCTCTTCTGCACCCCACCCGAAGCCTTTCACTCGCCTTGATGATGGAGGTGGATTTCTTGCTTCCCCAACAATTTTCATTATCTCGTCCACACTTTGAAGAGAAAAGCTCGGGTTATCTCTCTGGTAATAAATGGCTTGAGCTGATTCTGTTAGCTCCCTTGGCAAGTTCTTTAAGAACCAAGGATGGTTCTTGACTTCTTTAAGAGTAATCCTCTGCATAAAAACCAAATAGTAAATGTTATTATTTTTATGGAATGAGTTTCGAGCAGATATTGTCATGCATAATGGATTTATCAGTACTTAATGACGATAACATAAACCAAATAGGTTCTATTGGATTTATTAGTGCTTAATGATGATAACATAAACCAAATAGGTTCTAGTTTCCGGAGTTTAACCTTGAGGACAAGGTTCTTATACAGGAAGGAATGATGTCAGAAACCTCATCAGAAGGTCCTTTAGATCACTAGAAGAGTAGAGAAGAAGGAAGATGTAGAAGGACTAGCTCAGAAAATTATAGAGGTAGAAGCAAGATCTTTTTGATTCATTTTCCATATCTCTACTGAAATCATAGAGGGATATCAGCACAGCCCAACATTGCCACATATTCTCATGCATAACTAACAGTGGCTGACGGCTGCGTCAGCTGGACTACTACTCGTTGCACACACTAACACCTGTACATTGATACGTGATAAATTCAGTAAATAGCTAAGATAACTTCACAGAATTAACTTG